AAATATGAACGGTCTTTTTTTTATTAAAAAGTTTGTACCTTAGTAAAAAAAAATCTTACAATCAATCAACTTCATTTTTTTAACCACATATTTAACTAAAAAATTATCTTAAGAAAGACCAACTTTTAAAATATAATTATCTTAAATTTTTTATTTTTCAACGTATTAGAAAGACCAACTTTTAAAATATAATATCATAAAATCTCAAAAATTTCTCTATGATGAACAAATATGTATAAACTCACGAGACGAATATAAATGACAAAAAAATTGATAAGTAATCATACTATAAATCATATTAGAAAATGATTGATAAATTTTATCTTTAAAATCGTAATTGCTTATTTGGATAACATGATTATTTTGATGATCATATATATGTATGTAACAAAGTTTTAAATAAATATATTTTAAATGTTAAATTTTGATATCGAAGTGATTAATAATACAATATTAATACTAAATCTGCAAATTAATTTAAGGGAAAATTATGAAAATACTCCAAAAGAAAATTAAAATTAAAAAAATAGGCCATCTCTTTTGAAATTAAAGAAATAGGCTAAAGTTTACATAACTACCATTTTTTTGAATAAACATAAAACAAACAATCATTTAAGTAATAAAATTTATAATAAGACCTCAAATTGAGTGACTTAAATTTTATAAATCACGAATCTGTATTGGGAGAGTATTTTGCAAAAAAGGATGTGATGTCGATAATGAAACATGGGAAGCATGTAAGCATTTCTCAATTTGAGGTCTACCAGACTGTCCTAACTCCTAACATGTTCCTTTGTTTTTCAGGAATGCTTTTGCGTGAGTGTATTTAGGTTGTGGTTACAATACAAGGTTTGCTTCGACCTTCCATTGGATGCGTTTGCGAATGTTCTTTGTTCCTAGTTTAACATGTGGCTATTTGTATCATCACACAGTTTGATGTTGAATCTGAAGAAGTCAATAAAGCGAAGTCAATAAGACCACTACCACCACCACGACGGTCTCAACAACCAACAAAGTCTCGCCGTAATTGAAATATTCACATATATTTTCTACTCATGTG